TGGAGGCTTCTGTGTCAATGGGCTTCCCGACTCTGCCACCGTTCGACCCTCTCCTGGGATGAGTCGGGCTTTTTTCCTAAAGCTCACGAAGAATGGCGGCGGGAGGGCTTAATGCGGCAGACTCTGGCGGCAGCTCCTCTCAGACTGAGCTCTCTGGAGCCGCCGTGGCGGGCACGCTGCAGGCGTCACCCTTCGAAACGCGACGTTGCTCTTGTGGCCGCTCTGCCTCGGGCCCATTGCTGGCTGCTGTGATTTTCGATTTTCCGCATCGCAGCTCAGCGCCCCAGCACATCCCTCCGGGCCTTGTCACCGCTGCCGGTGGCTGCGGGCCTGGGGTCTTCCTGCGGCTCTGCGGCCCAGCTGCGGGTAGCTCTCGCTGCCCTCTGCTGCCCGGATCTTCTTCCCTTGCCCTTCTGTTCTGAGGCGGAGGGAGGTCAGCTTGTGTTCCTGCAAGGTGATCCTTCCGGAATTATTCGCTTGAATAAGAAAGCCACTCCCTGCGCCCAGACCCGCCTGCTCTGGGCTCTCGGCCTTCAGGACTTGGGCCAGATTCTCATTCCAGGTCAGGATCCTCCATCCCACCTCTCTGCCCTCATCTTCAAACACTCCCCAGCCAGAGAGCTGCACCCACCAGGCTGACATTCCTCAGCCACTGCTTCCTGCCTCTGCGCCTGTCTTTAGCCGAGACCCCAGTTTGGAATGTGCTCCCGTCTGGCGGTCGTGAAGTCTTTTTATCTCTGCCCCCGAGTTGGGGTGACCAGCACCCACACACCCCAGTACACTGCCTGTCTGCAGAGGGACCTTTGTGAGTTGGCGCGAGCTGGCCTGAGAAATGCCCAGCACCTCACACCGCCTGCCCCGTGCAGCCACAGAGCGCAGGCCTCGGCACGCACCGGACAAGGGGCATCGTCTGGAGCCCCATCTCGGTCCCGCAGGTGTGGGACACGGCTCACTGGGGGGCCTGGCGAGCACGTCTGTGGGTGCAGTAGTGCCAGCTTCAGGGATTTTGGCACCACGTCAGTCCTGATGAGTCCCGCCTGTCAGAGCCGCCCGGAGGGGTGAAGGTTGCAGAGGGGAGGCTCTCGGGGCTCCTGGCTTCCCTGAGCTGCTTTTGCTTGGCGGGGAAGCCGACAGGGAAATCCCAGCTGCCCTCTCCCGGAAGCCCAAGGGGGCTTGCTGGGAAGTGTGGGGTGCGGGGCGGGGCAGGCGGGTGGCCTGGTAGGCTCCTGCAGGCCCGGGTGACGGAAGAGGGGCCTGAGCGGTGTGTACAAGGCAGAGACCGATGTTACAGGTGGGTGCAGCCGGCCTAGGGCTTGTTCACACAGGAGGTGGTGGAATGAGAGCGAGAAGCCGTGGGGTCACGGCTGAGTCAGACCCGGGTGGTGTGTCACCATGACGTGTCACCTCTGACTTCAGAAACTGTCCTGAGTCATCGTGGTTCTGCCAGAAGGTTTTCCTGCCATACTGGAATTCAAAGGCTGCTTTGTAGGGAGGAGGGCACATTCTCACGCTGCGTCCCATGCCTCTTTCCCCGGATGCTGATGAACGCGGCACTTTGATGAGGGTAAATAGAAGAAAAATGTACCCTCCCGCCCTCTCTCTGAGTGTCCCTTTCAGTGGCCTCAGGAGCCCTTGGTCTTGTGACTCCTTCACTACTGTCCACCGCCAGTGCACTTTCATCTTCTAAAACGGAAACTGTCCCCCGGAAATGCCGACTCGCCAGCCCTGGCTCCCCTCCCTCTGCTCTCTGTCTCCGGACTAGCCTCTTCCCGGCGCCTCCCGAGTGCGGTCAGAGCATGTGTCTTTCCGTGACTGCTTGTGCCCCTCTGCAGAACGTCCTCAGAGCTCAGCCCTGTCATACCCGCGCTGCGCGTCAAGGTTTCCTTCCTCGTCAAGGCCGAATAATAGGCCATTGTCGATACAGGGCCGCTCCGTCCACCCGCTCCCCTGAGCCTGGGTTTCTGAGCTGCTCTGGCCTGGGGTGCATAGCTCTTGAAAGACACAACCAATAGAGGGTCTGTCCTTAGACATTTGTGATGATGGCATCACACTTTGTAAATGTGCATTTTTATGAATGTCGCAGTAGCCCCTATTAACGTGTAATTAGGTCTGCAGTTGCGTGTGCCTCGATTGCCTTGTGTTTCCTGTGCCTTCTAACTCATTTGGTGTGCAAATTGCATTCTCGGTTCGCACCAGGCTCCCACTGGCAGCGGAGCTGGAATTTGAAAAAATCTGTATTCCTGGAGGTCCGTGTTCCAGCCTCTCCAGCAGATTAATGCATAGCCGTATGTGGGAGGCCTCTGCTGCTCCTCCACTCTGAGTAGATGTTCCAGGGTTACGTAACGTGACGTATGGTTTAAGGCCCAATTACCTACTATGACAGTGCATTGAGGAGGCCCATTTGTTGCCAGTTTGTTTATGCTCCATGGTGGGACTCTGTTCTGGGAGAGAGGGGGATTCTGGATGCTGAATTAGGCCAGCCCTAGCCAATTTCAGCCCAAAATTGTTAGGAACTGATTTGTCATGAGCTACTTAATCTTGGAAACGAAACTCTGGCTATTAGACCTTTTGTTAAATGCAGTGGTGGCTGTAAGTAATAGCATGGCCTTGCAGCTAAGGGGCCTTATCTTGGAGCTGCCAGGAAATGGGGCGAAAGAGCTGACCCCTCCCTCTGGGCTGGGGTGAGGGGTCTGTCCGTGGTCAGAGAGACTTAAGTGGGCGGGATCCCTGCCTGTCAAGAAAAGCTACCCAAGCGCAGAGGTCTTGAAAGAAAAGGCCTGTGGCCAGCTGCCGGGCTGTGCGGTGGCCTCCGAGTCCCTGGGCCCAGAGTGGGGGAGAAGCCGAACTGTCCCTTGCTCCGCTCCGCACCGTCCGCTGGGGACCTGTTCTGTCCAGGCGGCCTCCCTCGGGCGCCCTCTGCTGGCCACTCTGGTGAAGGGCACTTTCCCCGGGCCAGCTCCCCAGCAGTGCAAGCTTGGCGGTGGCTCCACATGGCCCAGTGTGTAGTCTGGGCGGGTGGGGCCTATTTACAGTGTTGGGTTGGGGTCAGTTGCTGGAATGCTGAAGCCAGTAGTTGACCGATCGCCTCCTAGTTCTGTTGGGAGGGTCTCTTGGTGTTTATGGCCTGCACTGGCAGTGAGAAGTAGCTTTATTAACCGAAGAGTTCGCGTATCCTTGGATGCAGGCGGAGCTTAGGGAAGCTCCGGCGGTGTGAGTGGCTCAACACCAGCTCTCTGGCCTTACGGGAGGTGCATCTGGGGCCCTGTGCTGACCTTGGGAAGTGCTTCCTAGGTAAACTTTGGCCTGCCCTCGAGGGGCTGGAAATGCCCCAATCCCACCGATGTGCTCAGAACCATCCGTTTTCTCACTTGATTCCCAGGCAGTTTGTAAAGATAGCAGCTCTTTGGTGTAAAGCAGGGGCTGGCAAACCTCTTTTGGGAGAAGCCAAGTAGTAAATGTTTTTGGCTCTTTTCTGGGCCAAGCTGCTGGCTTCTCTCCCGAAGCAGTATATAAACAAATGGGGTGTGGTTGTGGTCCCGTAAGATTTTATTTACCGAAGAAAGAACAGAGCAGCTGGCTGGAGTCGGCTCCCGGGCCACGCTTGGCTCAGCATGTACCGAACACAGCCTGGGTGGATGGACGGGCTCGGGGATTCATCTGGGCCTCTTGGGGCTCAGTGGAACGATCAGTGCATAGGAAAACCAAGGGCTTAAGGGTCCAGATTTCTCAGGATAAAACCGTACAATAGACGACACGCAAGCTTTTAAGGAGTCATTCATGTGTGCTGGGCCCCAAGCAGCGACTGTCCTGATATTCATAGCATGTCAGACTCTATTAGGACAATTACCAAGGAAACAGATGCTGGCAAGTGGCAGGGGTCTTCCAGGCTGGCGGTGGGGCGCTGAACATGGTGGCTGCTTTCGAGAAGGCCACCCGGTCCTCCAGGTACTTTCTGTGGTGACCACACCACCCAGTGCTGCCAGGAACACTCCCACGGGAAGTGCAGGCTCACCCAGAACCGGTGCAATGGTGCCCACAGCACCGTCACACACAGTTGCCAAAAAGGCAACTCAAATGTCCATGGACTGATGAGTGGAGAGGCAGATGTGGCCCTGGCCCCCCACGTTGTCAGCTCTGAGAGGAAGCGCCTCGATACCAGCCGTGAGACCCTTAGTACCCAACTGTGTGTATACACAGTGTCCAGGACAGTGAGGCCTCGACAGAGCAGACTACACTGCCCCGGGCTGGGTGGTGGTGGTGGTGGGGGTGGGGGGGTGGTCTCCTCAGTGTTCTGAAGTCCACGGGCACAGAGCTCTGAAAAATAAGGGAAAAGTCATTTATGTGGGTGAATGGTGTGGAAGTGGAGTTATATCTCAATAAAACTGTTTTGTTAATCTTGTCTTTAGCTATTTGTTTATTTAAAGATTTATTTATTTATGCATGCACGAGCTTGGGGTGCAGGCCAGAGGTGTGGGGGGTGAGAGGATTTCCCGAGACAGAGTGGGGAGCAGAACAGGCGGATCTACTGAAATACACTGCTGAGGGGAGCAGCGGGTGAGTCAGGAGAGGTCTGCTGTGCCATGTGGGTAGCTCCCTGGCCGGGGATGGAACTCGTGCTACAGTGGCTGCGGATAGCTTCACAGTGCTGAGATTCAACCCCTTGTGCCACCACAGAGGCCCTCTAGCTAATTGTTTTTGTCTGAGGTCATTAGGAAATCAAACGGCCCTTCATCCTGGTTTGCATGGAGGAGACCCAGGAAACGAATTGGTGTGTTTGACTCCCTGTCTCTAGAGTGTTCCCCAGTGGTGCTTTCCATTCTCTGGGTGAGAGGAGGCCCCCAGGCCGTGGGGTGCGTCCCCGTCCCCTGCCCAGGAAGGGCCCAGGTGGCGCCTCCCACTCCCGGGTGACCCTGGTGGCCGGTCCCGGGTGCAGGCCCGCGGGGGTACTGGGACTGCTTTCCCACAGCGGGAGGCTCACGGGCCGTGCGTCTGTGTTGCAGATTGAAGAAGGAAGCAAAGCTGCGGCCGTGGACAAGTTACTGGCGGGAGACGAGATTGTGGGCATCAACGACGTCGGTCTCTCGGGATTCAGACAAGAGGCCATTTGCCTGGTGAAGGGGTCCCATAAGACCCTGAAGTTGGTGGTGAAAAGGTAAGACCCGGGCCCAGCGCTGTCATGCTGGGGAGCAGGGTGGCTGTGCCTCTGGCTTAGCAGATGCCCCGAGGAAAGGTGACACACCTGAAGCCGGTCACTTGCGGCTTTGTCCTGATAGGGCGGGGATGCCCTCCCACTTGGGGATGTGCTATCTGGGCGCTCGGCCGCGTTGAAGAGGGGTGCTCTGGCGGGGGGAGCTGCGTCTCCGAGATGCTGCAGAATGTGCTGTCCCATCACGGTGCTGGGCTCTGGGCATCTGGTTGGCTGGCTAGAGAGGCCGACGACCAAGAAGGGCTTGTCATTCGAATGCTCGAGAGAAAATGTGTGGTGACTGTCCTGCCGTAGGGGTTTTCTGCTTGTCCTCGCCCTTTCGGGCTTTGCAAGTCCAGACCGCAGAGCCAGTCATGCTGCGAGGATGCCGCCGCCACCCGATCGCTGAGCCCAGCCCCGGGCGGCCTGGTGTTGCCGGCGGTTTGGCCGGAGCCAAGTTACCGATGGGGTCGCTCTGTGTCACTTCCGGTGTCGGCCGGCAGCCTCAAGTCCTTTTGCGACTCTAATCACAGCCCCTGAGCCGCGTGCGGGAGCGGATTAACACTGCGGCGGGGATGCAGGGTTGGCCCGGGTGTGAGGTTACACGTTTGAAGAAAGGAGCTTCCCAGACCCCACAGCTCTCCATGGTGCCTGGAGCAAGGTCTTCGCAACATGCAGTGGCGTCTGGGTGTCCCTGCGTCCCCGTGGTTTCGACACTGAGCCGGTGCCCCCTCTGCTGCCCCAGAACTCCGTGTGCAGCTCCATGTTGCTCGGATGGATCAGCACCAGCCGTGGAGCTGCCAGAGGCCGGGGCGGCCAGGACACGGCAGGTCTTGGCCCTCGCACTCCTCCCGAGAGCCCTCCCCTGGTGGAGACCGTGCTCCCCTGCGCGGCCCCCGAGCAGGCGCCAGGCATGCTGAGAGCTGCCTCTGCAGGGGCCCAGGGCCTCATTCGGGCTCTGGGGCAAAAGTTCCTTGAGCATTTTGGATGTCGTGGGTTTTGGCACTGTGTTTATTTTTTTGGTTAAAACAGTAGACCCAGAAGTTGACATGGGACAGACACCGAGTTGTCTGGACTATTTCTGGTTTTGATATGTGATAGATCATCAGTTGAGCATCAGTTTTATCAATTGATAGTTGTTTATATTGTAGGTGATCACACGAAGTCCAGGTTACATACATCACTTCAGCTGGGGATTACATTTTTTTCTCTCGATAGGAAAATTATTGTTGGATCAGGAGGAAGTGTTTTATTTTGGAAACAGTGACTTGGGTTCAGGTTTTGACCTGGTTTCGCAGCGCGAGCAGATGGCTCTCTGCTGTGAGGCTGCCCGGTGGCACAGGGAGAGAGCGGCCCAAAGTTGCCAGTTTGTTTCCACGGCAGGGTGTGCCAGTGATGCGGTGACATTTACTTGGAGAGCCCTGATGGCTGCCTTGACACTAGACTTGCAGCGGAGGTGATTTTTTTTTTTATACAAGCACTGGATATAGTCAGAAGCGCGGGAGGGTGAGAGAATTCACCAGAGCCAGAGCGGGGAGCAGAGCAGGCAGAAGGACCAAAGTACACTGCTGAGGGGAGCAGCGGGCGGCAGGAGAGGTCTGCGCGCCATGCGGGACCCTCCTTCAGTGGCCGGGGAGCAGCCGGGATCGAACTGGCGCTGCAGAGGCCGCGGGCAGCTTCGCAACCCGGCGCTCAACCACTGCGCCACCGGGGAGGCCCGGAGGTGACATTTGTGTGCCAGTTGGGGTTTCCAGAGGAACCGTGAATACTGAGTAATGGGTTGACCCTGGACTGACAGCTCTTTGGGGGTTTGGGTGGGCACACGATCATTTCATGGTTCTCCGTGTGTGGGAAGGAGCTACAGACGTTCCCATTGACATTCCAGCTTCCCTCTGGGGAGAGTTACTTAATGAAACAGCTTCTGGGTATCTCCATATTGCACCCACCTACCGTGCACCCATAGGATGCCCTAGGGGCGACTCTTGGCAAATTTCCCTGCTTTGTGTTCAGGTTTTACAGCAGAGGTTTGTCCCGTGTATGACAGAGACCGGCGATTTCTTTGCCATGCCCTGACCTCAAGTTACTTTCTCTGGTTAGTTTCCCTAAGCGTGCTGCGTCTTCTGTGAGCCCAAGTCCCTGTTTCCGGAGAAATGCCTTTGCTCTTTGAGTACCTGTGGGCCTAGGGATACTGAGAAGGCACACAGGCCCCAGGAGGGGGATCTGAGGGCAGTTGGGGAACTGGCAGTGGGTCCCGGGCAGGTTCTGGATGGCCCAGAAGCAATCTCACGCATGTGTTTTATTTTTCAAGCCATTTTCCGAGGTTCCATCGCATTGTAACGTGAGCAGCTCCCAGGCGTGCGCCTGGCAAGTGAGCTTGGAATTTGAGATGACTATGGCACCCACAGGCAGCCCATCGGGTGTGCCTACACACCGAGCCCCTTGCTCTTCTGGAGCGCCAGCCTGGGGGGTCGACCCCTCCCCTGGAGAGGGGTGTGTCTCCCTCAGCCCGCCCATGCTGCCCCGCACACAGGGGCCCTGGTCTTCCAGGCAGCTCTGCAGGCGGCTCTCCTTGTTCTGCACCGGAGCCGGCCTCCCTGCCTTGCCACTGGGCCTCTGGAGCAGCAATCCCGCGGCCCCTTCAGCTGGCAGCCTGGCCTCGGGGCTGGAGACCACCCCCTCCCTGTTCCCTGCCCTGAAAGGGCTTCCTTCCTGGGACTTCTTGGGACTCTGCAGGTCCAGGCTGGGCCCTCGAGTGGCTGCAGCAGACGGGTGAGGATGGGTGGGTGAGGGGGGCTGCGACTCATGCACCGGCTCACTCGGGCGCCTTGGCAGGCAGGCATGGTCTCGCCACCTCCCGAGTGCAGCCACCTGTGCTCTCTTTTGCGCCATGTCCTGGCACCTCCTGTGGCTTGTCTGTGTAACCCGGAGGGGGGCTCTGGTGTGGGAAGAAACACCAGCATCTGGGTGGCCAGGATCTTGGCCCTGCCCTTGTCCCCTGTTCTAGCCTGGGTTAGGGGAGGCCTGAGCCCAAGGGCCGCGCTGAGTGCGCATGGAGGCTGGGTGGCGCCAGAGCGCCCCCGACCGGTCCTGCAGCGCCGCACAGTACAGTGCTTGGTGGCCAGAGGCTGAATGGCCCCCTCCCTGGCTCACACCCCGGTGCTTCGGGCCGCAAGAGGGGCTGCTGCTAAGCGGACACCAGCGAGCCTCCTGTGACCCCACATCTGTCACGCCTCACGAGGCCACTCGAGCTCCCGCTGTCCCCAGTGGCCAGTCCCCCAGGGTGCACTTGTAGACAAGACGTGCTCACTGTGCTTTCATTTATTCCTTATTACGCCTCATTCCCAATTAGTGTCATCTCTGGTGATTTGTTCTTGAAACGGAGACCCGTGTCTGGCGCTCTGTTAAGGAGGGAGGGCCTCGCTCCTTCCTGGGGCGCTGCGCTCTGCGAAAGCCGTTCCTCCGGCCGGGCGAGACTCCTGGCGTTTCTGTCTCCAGACCTGCTCCTCCTCGTGCCTCTGGTTTGCACCGGGGTCATTGCCTTCCTTTGCCAGTGAGCTGTCATGGGTGAGAGCGGCTGTGGGGAGCCTGGACAGGAAAAGCCGCCTGAAGGCGACATTCACGCCACAGGAACTCCCTGAGGAGGGTTTGAGGAAGTCTGTGAGCAGAGTCTTGCCTGGTCGACCCCCGACGTCTGCGCGGGAGGATCGTTAATGGCAGGGACGGGGAGGTCCACGCCTTTCCTTCCCAGCCCTCTGGCGTTTCCAAGTCAGTTACCTGCGTCATCAGAAGGTGGTGTTGTAAATGTCTTTAGGGTCTTTCATCCATGTGCTTTGCGAAATAGTCTTTCTTGATTTTGCCCCCTTCGTCCAGCCCCCAAGGTGGTCTGCTTGATTGGGCGGGAAGGTGTCCCAGCGAGGCCCCTTCTGCCCTAAGCAGAGAGGAGAGGGGTGCGTGGGTAGAGGGCCTCATGGGGGTTCTGTAGGGCTGGTTGTTTGTACCTTGTGGCACCTGGACAGGTGTGAGCGAGACACGAGTAGGCCGCAGGGGACGACAGGGACTGTGGGAGGGAGCCGGAGTGTCTGCACCTTCAGAGGCCTGCCCCGGGGCAGGGATGACTGGCCTGTCGGACTGGACATCCAAATGAGGGCGACCTGGAGAGCCCCCCTGTCTCATTTGGCGGCTACACAGCATGGTGACTTAGTCAAGCGAGTAAATAACCAGGGGATTCCCCTGCAGCCTGGGACCCTGCCCAGCTGGGAGCTCCCTGAGCATTTCTCCAGTCCAGAGCCTGCCCCCACCCCACGCAGGCCCGGGCCTGTGCAGAGTTGGGCCGACACAGAAGGCTGCAGCGTCTCCCTGGGAGGGGCAAGGTGGGCCAACTTGGGATACACTTGAAGGCCAGGGGCTGGTTCACATTTTGCAGCTGTGCTCCCCTCTGTGTGGGGTTATGTTCCCGCTGACAAAGGGCACCTGAGGGTGACGCCCGAGGCCCGTGGTTTGTCCCTGTGTGAGCCCTGAGTCTCCTGTCCTTCTCTTCCAGGAGGAACGAGCTGAGCTGGAGGCCGCACTCCTGGCACGCGGCCAAGTTCTGCGACGGCCACCCTGAGGCAGCGCTGGCGCCCTTCTCCGCTGGGGGTGGCGGGCCCTCCTGGCGTCACCACACCAGGTAGGCCTGCCTCGGGCTGGGGAGGAGACCGTGGCACCCTCAGGCCCTCGACGCCCCCCTACTTTCAGAGCCCCTGTTGATGTGAGGAGGACCAGCCCACAGCACTCCTGGGGACCCGGCTTCAGAGTGGGGGATGCTGGGAACCAAGGACTCCAACCCCTGGGCGGGGTGGACACGTGGGCTTTCTCGTTTATGTTACTCAAGTGACAACTCAGGGGTCCGGGCCAGGCCGGTTTGGGGGTTCTGGGGCGGGTCCAGCTCTTGGTGCTGCCGTTGCCCACGGTGCCCACCTGGCTCCGCTGGGAGCTGCTGTCCACTTGCCAGCCTGCAGTCCACGCTGTCGCGTCGGGAGGGCTGGAGTTGGACGGCTGGCGACAGCCCCGACCAGTCGCTCAGCTCGGTGGCCAGTGCCCTCATAGCATGTGAGGAGGGGGACAGGAACCGCGTCCAGAGCAGCTGTCGTGTGTGTGTGTGTGTGTGTGTGTGTGTGTGTGCAACACGTATCCGTGTGTGTGCTTGTGTACCTGTGGGTGTGTTTACATGCTTGGGTGTGTGTGTTTAGAACTAAAAAGCCGTTTTTGGCTGTTAGTGAACCCTGGTCTGTTGCTCAGTCATCACACTTCTGTGATGTGAGGGAAACACGGCTCGATACGACGCCACCTATTTAAAGCCACCTGACACTGTGGCTTTTGGAGCCCAGGCTGGTTTGAGAAGCCACTTGGGCCTTTGGTTTCCTTGTGGAAGTGGCCGTGGGGCAGGCCCCCCGGGCGGGTCCCTGAGCAGAGAAACGGGAGCTGCCGCCTCTGCGTGGCGTCTCTGTGCTGTCCGTACCTGCCTGGACTTGGGCCTGCTGGGAAGGGCCCTGGGGGTCGGTGTGAGGAGGAGAGGGAGGATGGCGGGGGCACAGGTGCCTGGTGCTCATGGGAGTGGGGTGAGACCCGAGGGTCAGCTCCTCCTGCAGCTCACACTCCCGTCCTCGCCCGCCACACACTGCCCTCCCCATGCTGTTATCCCCCAGGCGCCAGGGTCTCCAGGTGTGTGGTCTGTGCTTTTGGAGAAGCTGAATGTTCCAGCTGCCTGGAGCTCTGCCACCACCGGATGGACGGCTCCCGCCATGCCCGCCGGTCCCCCAGGCCGTCACAGCCTTGCTGTGTGGTGGCTGCGGCACCGGCGTGCGCAGTGACACCATGACAGCCTTGCGTGTGTGAGGTGGCCCCGGCACAGTGTGGGCTGTGCGCTCTCGCACCTCCTGGCCGCCATTCCCTCCAGCACCGGGTGCTGCCCGTCTTGCTGGGTCAGACCCACCGCCTCCTCGCAGACCCCGTGCTGGTTCTGAGCTGCTTCAGGGGGCAGTGAGCCGAGGAAGGAGCTGCGGCCGCTGCCTGCGGCGCTCGAGAGCAGCCGGCGCTGTGACCGAGTGGCCCGGCCATGTCCGTCCATGACCATGTTTGCATTTTACACCATTTTCGTGGGTCATGGAACATTTTTAGAATCACTCCCGCCCATCTTTAAAAATCTAAAACGACTGATCCGGCGGCAGTTTCCAGCCGCCGCACTAAGCCTGCGAGGGTGCGGGCAGGGCACTGCGGCCACCCGTGGCGTGGAGCTGCAAAGGGAGGCCCTGCCAGCATTGGGGTGACTGTGAAAGGCACCATGAGCTTAGAGCTCATCCTCTCCAAGCCGAGCTCGGGGGAGGGAGCACCTTCGGGCATGGGGGTGCTGCCCTGGAGGGGTCCTGCTGCCTCTCTGGCTTTGCCCCTAAAGTGACCCGTGGCCTGTGTTCTTTTCCTTGTGCCAGCTCCTCCTCGCACGACCTGTCGGGCGCCTGGGAGCCGTCGAGCCTGCAGCGCAGCTCTGACCACTTCAGCTCCCTGGGGAGCGTGGACAGCCTGGACCCTCCTTCCCAGCCCTCCGGGCGCCTCTCGGCCGCCAAGTCCAACAGCAGCATTGACCACCTGGGCGGCCCGAGCAAGCGGGACTCGGCGTACGGCTCCTTCTCCACCAGCTCGGGCACCCCCGACCTCACCCTGCCCAAGGCCGACGCCTCCTCCACGGAGAACCTCCTCTACAAGGTCGGCCTGTGGGAAGCCTCCAAGCCGGGCGGCCGACAGTGCCCGGCCGGCGACGCTCCGGGCCCCGAGGAGAAGCTCGGCCACTTCCCTCCCAGGGTCCCCAGTGACCGCAGCCGAAGCCCGAGGCCCGAGGGCACTCTTGAGCCCAGGCCGGCCAGCTCTGCCAGGTCCAGTTTCGGGCCGGTCTGGTATGTGCCCGAGAAGAGAAAGGCCCCTTCCTCCCCGCCCCCACCTCCGCCCCCACTCCGCAGCGACAGCTTCGCCGCCACCAAGGGCCATGAGAAGCCCCAGGGCCCTCCGTCGTCTGAGGTGCCAGGCGCCCAGCCCTTCCCGGCCCCGACCCGGGCCCCATCCCACGGCGACTGGAGAGCAGAGTCGGCCGAAGCTCAGCGGAGGCGCGACGCGAGAGGGGCCGTAGGCCCAGGCTGGGGCCTGGACGCGCCGCTGGATGGCGGGTGGCCGTCCTCCGAGCAGGATGCGGGCGGCCTCCCAGGAGCCCCCGGCCGACTGCAGGCCTCTGCGTCCAGCACGGATGTGCGCTGCCCGCCGCCCTACGCGTGCCAGCCCCTGCGCCGGTGCGGCCGCGACAGCCCCTTCCTTCCCGAGGGGCCCCGGGAGCAGCCGCCCGGCGCCTTTGCTGGGGGCCTGCAGGAGCGCCCCGCCGACCACCCCCAGGACAGTGGCCTTGCCCGGGACAGGTGGCCCAGGACTGCCGACCAGAGGGAGGACAGTGGCGGTGGACAGAAGCGCCACCTGTGCACGCCCAGCGGACCGTGCCGCGCACAGACAGGGCCGCCCCCAGAGGAGCCCCGGCTCTGGGACCTGGCGCGGGGTGCCCACGAGGTCCCTGCGGCGCAGCCAACGGGGCCGAAGTCCCGGTGCCGCCTGCTGCAGCACGAGGTGCCCCCAGGCGCCCAGGAGTGGGCAAGGGCCTGCCAGTCGGACAGAGCGGCAGAGGGCCCATCTGCGGGGGCCGGAGACCCGCAGGGCACCAGCTGCCCAGACCAAGCCGACCGGAAGATGGTCATGGACAGCGTCAGGGGGTCGGATGGGGAAAGCGGCTGGATCTCTCCACAGAAGACCCCCATGTTGCACTGCCTAGCCCAGGAGGGGGCGTGCCGGGCGCAGAACGGCCACCCCAGTGGCACAGAGAGGCCTCCGCCGTTTGACAGCCAGGCGGGCAAGGCCATACGCAGGAGTGACCGCTTCGCCACCACCCTGCGGACCGAGATCCAGCTGCTGCGGGCCAGGCTGCAGAAGGGCACGAGCACCGCCGCACTGCCCGCGGCCACAGCCCAGGCGGGAGAGGAGGCCGGCGGCTGGAGGGCCGAGCGGGGCGGCGCCCCCCCAGAAGGGTCTTTCCCCGGCACCTACAAAGACCACCTGAAGGAGGCCCAAGCTCGGGTTCTGAGGGCCACGTCCTTCCAGCGCCGGGACCTGGACCCCAGCCCAGCCGACCACTGTCCGGGGGCAGCAGAACCCGGGGCCGGGGTGCTCAGCACCCCTTCCTTGTTCTCCACGGGGGCTCCCGACCCTGGCCCCCGCTTCTGGGAGGCAGGCCTGACCAAGCCGCCCTCCTCTTCTGGGGGGTGCGGGCCCCACCTTCCCCGCGTCGGAGGCCGCAAGCGCTTTACCACGGCACAGAAGCTGAAATCCTACTCTGAGCCTGAGAAGATGAACGAGGTGGGGGTCACGGCACACTACCGCCCCCACCCTGTGGCCGCCGAGGACGCCGTGGGCACGTTTGCCGACAGGTGGAAATTTTTTGAGGAGACCAGCAGACCCGCTCCCCAGCAGGCTGGGCAGAGACCAGCTGTGTGCAGAGGCCTGAGGGAGGGCCCGGGAAGGCCGCAGACAGCCGGGCCCGCCTGTGAGGGCTCCGAGCCGTGGCTCCAGCCGAGGGGCCGCACCACCTCCTTTGGGGAAAACGCCAGTGGGCCCAGAAAGGCAGGCACAGTGGGGGAATCGGACCCACCGCAGAGACTCGGGACCTTTGCTGAGTATCAAGCCTCTTGGCGGGAGCCAAGGACGGCTCTGGAAGCCCGGGGTTCTGGCAGGTACCACTCGGCGGATGACATCCTGGACCCCGGTCTGGAGCAGCACCAGAGGCCGCAGTATGTCCATGAAAGGTCCCGGTCGTCTCCATCCAAAGAGCTCTATAACCAGGTAAGCAGCGCGGCAGCGCCCTAGGGCCCACGGAGGACTCTGCGCCCAGCGTGGGGTCACTAAGTCCCACCGGGCAGTTAGAGCCCTGGTGTCGGCGTGCGTGAAGGCCCCCAGGGACATAGCCCGGTCATCCCTGCCCCTGCCGAGCCTTCGCGCTGGGCGTGAGCTCCCGGCCTCCTCGCAGCGACGTCACTTGGCTGGTTTGTCCCCATGTTAGTACCAAGCAGAGAACTTGGGGAAACTCGAAAATGTAAGTCCTCCTCTGAGGTGGAAAGGGGCGTTTGTATAAAGGACCGCGCGTGAGAGCCACTTCTCAGATACTGGAATGTTGACGTCACTGCTTATTTGGGGGGGGGGTTTCCAAATGGTTTTAAAGATCACTCTCGGCAGACGTGATTGAGAGCACAGCACATCGCACTGTCGCGCTTTCATTTTTTAAGGTTGAGTTCTGATGGTAAAAGCTGATATCAGGGGCCTCCCTGGTGACACAGTGGGTTAAGTCTCAGCACTATGAAGCTGTCCGCAGCCACTGCAGCACGAGTTCTATCCCCAGCCAGGGAGCTACCCACGTGATGCAGCAGACCTCTCCTGACTTCCCGCTGCTCCCCTCAGCGGTGCATTTCAGTCAGTCTGCCTGTTCTGCTCCCCACTCTGTCTCTGGGGAATCCTCTCACCCCCCCACACCTCTGGCCTGCACCCCAGCACTTGTATGCATCAATAAATAAATCTTTAAAAAAAAAAAAGCTGACATCAGCCTTTGTAGAAAATGACACATTTTGCGTCCTCCCCGCCACATGGACAGCCAGCGTCTCTGTCCATCTTCGTCCCCTTCCTTGCTCTCCCCCTTCCCACTCTCTCCTGTCCTGCCCGCCCGCCTCACCCCTCGCCCTCTCCCCTGCTTTCTCTGCCTCTTACATCTGCAGTGATAGATTCCAGGGAAAGAGGTTTCCTCCAGGACCAGTTGCAGTTTCTTTTCCTGGGCTTACAGTTAAGTGTCCAGAGCACACACATGAAGGGTGCTCGTGCATCCTGGTGCCAAGGTTGCGCGCACACGGGGCGCAATGCCCCAGCTGTGCCGGGCTGGAGACCTACCCTGATCCCCCGGCTTCTCGGTCGGGGTACACGAGTCCCCTCTCTGAGCATGCCCTCTCTGGGCTGGAGGCTGGGTGCGGTGAGCCAGCAGCAGCTGGGTTTCATTTGCCTTGGGTTTGAGGCCAGCTGCGCGCTGGGCTTCCAGACCTCACGTGGGAGTTGCTTCCTGCTGGGCTCCGTGGGTGCCGGTCGAGCTGGGTCGCGGCCAGGAGGCGCTCTGAGGGCAGAGCGTGTGTGCGGCGGCTGCGTCACCGCCCTCCTGGGACAGGCCCTGGGGCCAGCCACAATGAAGGGGTGTGTAATGATAGGTGTCTCCAGGGCGGCTGCCTGACGACTCGGTGTCTCCTTGTGCTGCCCTTGGCAGGAAGTGTGTGTGGAGGCGCGGCGGCGCACTGCGGACCCCGGCGAGCAGAGACAGCACGCCCACGCGCTGCGGCCCCCGGAGGTGCACCCCACGCCGAGGTAGGTGCAGGGGCTCGGGGTGCCCGGGAGGGCGTCCTGGAGCGAGCTGTGTGGCGGGCGAAGGCTTGGTTCGCGTGGTTGGGCATCTGCTTTGGCCAGACCGAGCCTGCCTGTTTCCGGGGTGCGGCGTCCAGCGAGCCTGGGAGCTGGGGCCAGAGCCCACGCCCCTCACCACTGCCGCCGGGAGAAGCCACCCGAGGGTGGGGACGCCCTTGAACGCCACGGTGGCAGTTTTGGCTCTGAAATGGCTGCTGTGTTTCCCCTACAGTGAGGCTCTTTATGTTGAGAGAATGAGGAATCCAATCTGATGTGTTGAATGAGATGCTTTATGCGGGCCTGACAGAGGGGTGCCTGCACAGTGTGGGCACGGCCAGGGCGCCGGGTGCGCGGTCTCTAAGGCAGAGCTGCCTCGGAGGAGCGTCAGGCAGGATGAGGGCGAGCGTCCCCGATTGGCCTCCTTGAATGAGGTCACTTTGAGCTCTGAACTAGAAAGCAAGTGGGTTGGCTCCCCCGAGAAAGGAGGGAGGTCTGGGAGCAGCGAGGCTCTGCCGTGCTGCACGCTGATTCTACACTGGCTGCTCTGGTGGCTTCATTGCAAGGAGGAGGGACTGGGCGTGACGTCCCTAACATTGGCGGGGTGGGGTGGGAGCAGGGGGCCATCGCTGCCCAGCTGTGGCATTGCCTCATTTCCAAGGGCTGATGGAGGACGGGAAATGAGTTTGCTCTGCTGACCCGGTTAGGCTCTCGCTTCTCTGTCCTGAGCATCTCCCGTGAGGGGTGCTACATCCAGACGGGCACTCAGCTCCAAATTCAAGGTGCCATCGCAGAAATAAGCGACTGAAGTGTCTGTTCCCCAAAGTCTCAGGTCAAGGGGCTTTTCTTTCATTTGGCTTCGGGCCGAGTGCCATGAGCCTTGTTCTGGAGAATCCAAGGTTTCTGTGGCTCTGAGGGACCGGGATTCTGTGTAGGATGCTGCTGCAACTGCTTAGCAGTCCGCACGGCGAGCACCGAGAACCCCCCTGGGTGAAGAAGGGCGGGCTGCTGAATGAGACACCTACAGAATCCGGCAGTGTCTGAGCAGCACAGTCACAGCTTTCTCACTACGGATTCCAGGCTGGTCACGTGCCGGGGCAGCTGCCATCTGTGTGCAAAGCCGGCCTGCAGACCCCGCTGCCGTTGGGGGCGACCGCGGGGCTTTGTGGAGGACACTCGGGGCGCCCGCGCACGTGGGCTCTGGCTGCGCTGCTGCGCGCGTGCACCAGCGTTTCATTTAAAGGGCAGCGGGTTCGTGCGGGGGGTGCAGCTGAGCGCCTCTGCCGGGAATAAAGGGTCGTTGTGAATCTTGCTGACGCCGCGCGGGCGCCTGGCAGACGCACTCTGACAGCGAGAGGGTCCAGGGGAGGGGCGGGGCCGGGTGCTGGCTGCGTTTGCCACGGTCGGGTCTCCCAGCAGCCCGCAGAGCCGCGGCGAAGAAATTCATTCCAGAGGCTTTCTGCGCTTGAGCTGCAAACCCAGCAATTTTCAGAATTGTTTGTGTTTTTAAAGGATGGCGAGATTCCATGAAACTCGAGAGTAGGAAAGTTGAAAAGCCCTTTGCAGCCTTTGTGTGTGTGTGTGTGTGTGTGTGTGTGTGTGTGTGTGTGAAGGTTTATTTTCTGAAGTCTTGGCAGGAAACAGTGCGCGTTAATCTGAGAAGAAAGACAGTCTAGGCAAGGGGCTGTCCTCTTTCCCCTGGAGACAGAATCCCGAGCATCTGTAAATCTTGCATTACGTGTGCCTGAGTGTAAAGATGCAAGCCCGCGCGTGTGTGGAATGGCTGGTCACCACTCCATGGTCATTAAAAGTGGGTTTTGTTGTATTTTCTTGGGAGGACAGAAGAGCATCACGTCCTTGGTACTGGCTAATGTGTAGCCAGTTGAGGGCATTTCTGTGAGCTGGAGGGTTCTGTGTTCTATATAAAGACAAGTGGGCAAAGGTCTGCCCCAGAGTCCCCGCAGCACCACAGGGAAGGAGAGCGACACGGTCTCGGGCCCGAGGGTGACGGCTGAAGCTCACTGTGTGAACAGCATCTCAGAGGAGAGAGGGTGGGCGCGAGTTCTGCAGGGCTTGGGGAGGGCAGGTGCTGGCCGGGGAGCCTGCCCCAGCCCTGGCTCGCTCTGGCCCCTGACTGTGCTGACTGCGGCTGCCAGGAGTTTCGTGCCGAGTCTCGAGCTCAGTCGCTAGGATCCCCGGCGTCTCTCGCCCTCTGATTTGGGTGCCTGGGCCTCGGCGGGCAAGGAGGGAGGGCGGGTGGCATCGACGACGGGCCTCTGTTCCAACATCACGGTGCCAACAGGGCAGTTTCTCCCGAGGCTCCCGCCCTGCGTCCTCACAGCAGTGTCCCTCCCTGTGCGTCTGGGTCCTGATCTCTGAGGAGGGCCCAGGGCTGTAGGCCAGGCCCACCCGGATGACGTCAGCTGGCCTCATCGCCTTACAGGCCCACCTCCTAGAGAGCCCATCGGAGGCCAGGAATTAGGACTTCGTCCGTGGGAGCACATCCATGGGAGCACATCCGTGGGGGCACATCCAGGGCAGCACGTCCGTGGGAGCATGTTCAGGGGAGCACATCTGTGGGAGCATGTTCAGGGGAGCACATCTGTGGGAGCACAGCCATGGGAGTGTGCTACTTTCCTTTCTGCTTTAATCTCTTCGTGTCTTCATTTCCGCCCTGACCAGAGAGTGCATATCACCACCATCTGGGTGGTGGGCGTGACGAGCCGAGTGTGCCTGGGTCTCCTGTGGGTGGTGATTACCTCGCTCCTGGGCCGGGAGGAAAGAGAGTGTTCAGGGTCGCTTGCAAACCCAGCTTTCCCTTGAGATGAGGGCCAAAGTATGGGGGGCCATGCCAGCAGATCTCAGCGTCCTCTCAGTCAAAAGGCAAAGCCAGGGCCTCCCTGGTGGCGCAGGTGGTTCAGTGCCGTGCTGTGAAGCTGTCCGCAGCCTCTGCAGGGCGGGTTCGATCCCGGCCCGCCGGCGAGAATCCCACATGGCGCAGCAGACCTCTCCTGTCTCCCCGTTGCTCCCCTCAGCAGTGTATTTCAGTCGATCCGCCTGTTCTGTTCCCCGCTCTGTCTCTGGTGAATCCTCTCACCCTCCCGTGCCTCTGGCCTGTACCCTGGTTCTTGTATAAATAAATAAATCTTAAAAAAAAAAAGGCAAAGCCATGTTTTAGTGGCCAGGGATCTGTGGGGGCCAAACCCCGAAATCTGCTTTGGTGCCTGGGGCCACAGTTCATTTACAGCAGAGCCACATCTGTCACTGCATGAAAGTCACACTGACCGTGGAGTTTTGCTGTCATGTAACTGGGAGCTTTGTTTTGTGGCTCAGCACACAGGAGTGCACTCTGGTGCACCCCATGTGGCGTGGGCTCCTGACTGGGCAAGTCCACGGAGACAGCACGTAGATTAGCGGTTGCCAGGAATCGAGAGGGACGTGGCCATGCCCGTCGATGAGTACACGGTTTCTTTTGGGGTGATGAGAATGTTCTGGAATGACTGGTGGTAGCGACACGACTCTGCATATACCAAAAAGGACTGAATCGCTCACTCCCCAAGGGTGAGTTTTCTGGTATGCCTGCTTTCTCTCAATTTTGGAAAATCTCCATCAACATGGGTACCCACAAGGAAAATGTCCTTTTAGTGTAACATGTGCTTGTGGCTCACTCAAGTCTGAACAATGTGGCTGTGGCTCAGAGGGGCAGACTTTGTCGAGGCTGGCCGGTCAGGGCTTGGGGCGTTGCGAGCGTGGTGCTCGTGTTGGGGCAAGCGGGTCCGTCCTGTTGCTGGAGCGGGAAGCCGCCCAGGCAGGGGTGTGGTGGCACGCCAGTAACTTCCAGATGAGGCTGGCCGCCCTGGGTTTGCTCAGGGCACAGCGGACATGGTGCCAGACTGGAGGGCACCAGACCTTGTGGAGAGCCCCTTTCCCGAGTCTCCTGGGTTGGGGCTTCACTTTGGGACTTGGCACGACCTGCCCCAGTGGGGTGACTGGCCCCCTGGGCCTGAGAGCACAGGAGATCATGGGGTGCGGTGAACATGGCTCCTCGGTGGCCTTGGGACTCTAGGGACAGATGGGATGGGATGGGAAGAGCGTCCTCAGGCCACAGGATCCGTGTGCCTCTCACGGTGGGGGAAGGGCGTCCGGGCAGGGCCCCAGCGGCTGGGAGATGTGAGAGCCCGAGGGTGCGCATTTCCCGCTGTGCCCTTTTCCTTGTGAACTCGTTCAGATGTCCTGTGTCGAAGACAGGCACGTCTGCCCGCGATTTAGCACAAGTGTCCACGATGCACAGCCTTAATGGCGTCGCCCCCGTACAGCTGTGGGCCGGGCGAGCCTCTGCGGTGCCCGCTCACTCTGCCCCACTCCAGGAAGCGGGGACGTAGGGAAACCCCTGTAGGCCTCAGAGTTGTGCGGGTCATCCAGGGTCTCCTTTATTTTTTACACTTTGAAAGGACAGATTAGGAGAAGGAGAAAGAAGCAGAGAGACGCCTGCATCGCCACAGGCGGCAGGAGCGCTGCCAATACCGTTTCGCAAAGGGAAAAGGTTTGTCAAGGGACTCCCTGCGTGGTGACGGCAGGCAGGACGCTGCCGTTCTGCAGAGCTGAGTCCCTGAGTGATGGGTTCCTGGACACAACCAGCGCCAGCACCTGGGTTCCAGCCTCCTTGGAGGACTGACTGACTGCAGGGCTGGGGCGGGCACTATACAAGAGGAGCCTGGAGCATCTCCCGTGGCCCCACAGCAGGGGAGTGCAAAGGCCAGAGAGCAAGTTGGACAACAATGAGGACTTGTCAGAAGCGCCCAGGAGCCGACTAAGAGGAGTACCGAGAACTAAAGCTGGAGCTTTGTAAGCACCAGAATGATGAAATACGGGGTTATTATAGCCCAGTGTCTAGCCAATCAATTCCAAATCCGCCATGTAGGGCCTCCCCCGTCCAGAAGTCTCGTCCTGCAGGTCTGGGCTGCCTC